AATGAATAACACAGAAGAACGAATAAGTGACCTGGAAGATAGAATAACGGAAATCACCCAATCAGGACAGCAGACAAAAAGCCAAATAAAAAAATGAAAGCAATATAAGAGACCTATGGGATAATATAAAGTGTGTCAATCTATGCATAATAGAGATCCCAGGAGGAGAAGAAAGAGAAAAGGGGATTGAAAATGTATTTGAAGAAATTAGGGCTGCAAACTTCCCAGACCTAAAGAAGGAAACATCCAGATACGGGAAGCACAGAGGGTCCCAAACAAGTTGACCCCAAAGAGACCTACACCGGGACATATTCTAATAAAAATCCAAAGTTAAGGAGAGGATTCTAAAGGCAACAAGAGAAAAACAAAGAGTTAACGACAAGGGACCCCCGCGCTCACCACCAGCATAAGGCTATCAGCTAATTTCGCTACAGAAACATTACAGGCCAGAAGGGAGTGGCAAATGTATTCAAAGTCCTAAAAGGGAAAAATGTGCAACCTAGGATATTCTACCCAGCAAGATTATCATTTAGAATAGGAGAGAGAAAGAATTTCTTGGACAAGCAAAAACTAAAAGAATGGAGTTCCCTGGTGGCACAGTGGTTAAGAATCCACCTGCCAATGCAGGGGACATGTGTTCGAGCCCCGGTCCAGGAAGATCCCACATGTCGCGGAGCAGCTAAGCCCGTGCTACTGAGCCTGCGCTGTAGAGCCTGCGAGCCACAACTACTGAGCCCGCGTGCCACAGCTACTGAAGCCCGCGCGCCTAGAGCCCGTGCTCTGCAACAAGAGAAGCTACCGCAATGAGAAGCCCGTACACCACGAGGAAGACTAGCCCCCGCTCGCCACAACTAGAGAACGCCTGTGTGCAGCAATGAAGACCCAACGCAGCCAAAAAAACAAAAAAACAAAAACCTAAAAGAATACAGCAGTAGTAAACCTATCCTAAAGGAAATATTGGAAGGTCTTCTCTAAATAGAAAAGAAACAAGAAGCTATAGGAAAGAGAAGAATCACAATTGGAAAGTAAATCACTGAAATAAGCCATACACAGAATGAGAAAACAAAATCAAACAATTTCTGTGGAAGCGGTGATTACCACCGTGAGCTGCAAAAGGGTGCAGATGAAGTTGTAGAAGAGGACACATCAGAA